GACTGCATCAGCTGTGCACATCTGCATAGTCGGAGGGAGGGGCTGGAGCTGTGGCTGGCTGAGGCCCAGTGGGAGCTGCCCATTCTGGCCTGAGCTGGCCCCTACGGCTGGAAAGTGGGCAGGGTGATGCCCCATTTGTTCCCCCACCTCACAGAGGGGAAATCCTTGGCATCTTTTCTTCGTCAGCTATCCCTGCCTACTCTTCACGTACACTCGCTATTCAGGGAGGCCTGGCAAAGCTGCTCTGCAGAAGGCAACAGAGGGGGCAGGGGCTCCCTGTGCCTGGTGTCTGGGTAACAGGGAATGTAAGCAGGAGGACAGTCCTGTCGGTGGAGGGGGAATGCCCTGATTTAGCTCCTGGGGTGGTTGTGTGTGCCTGGAGTTCGGGTATGGGAGTTGGGTTCAGCATTCTCTCCGGGGCGGCAGGTCTTTGCAGCTCCCCAAGAGGAGCTGTGGTCTGTGACCCGAAGCAGGGAGCTGGAAGCTGGACGCTTCAGAGGGGAGTCCCACTCAGCTCCCTCCTTTCAGAGCAGGCTTTGGCCGTCTCTGGTTCCTTTCCAAGTTCGGACAATTTACCTCTTTTTTATTATTTTTTTTTCAGGCTTCTTCTTAAGACCAGGTGCCCCAGTAGCTTCCCACAGTCCTGCTCTGGTGTTCTGTTGGTCTCACTGTCTGTCTCACTCCTCTGCTCCAGGTGCAGCTATCCACCCAAATGGGTTGGGCTTTCCTAGATGCCACGATGGATGTCTCTAGTCAACCACCTAGCCCTTGTTCTCATTTTTTTTAAGTATGATTCTCATTAATCCAGTTAGAATGTATTTCAGTGAATGATGCTGAAGAGTGATTTTTTATTTCTATCTACGTCGCTAACCATTTCGAACTATAGCATCCATCTTGGTCTGTTGATGCTGCTATAATAAATTACCCGAGACTGGGTAATTTATAAATACTAGAAATTTATTTCTTACAGTTCTAGAGGTTGGAAGTTCAAGATCAAGACACTGGCCACTTCGGCATCTTGTGAGGGCTTGTTCTTGTCAGGGCATATGTGCATCCAGAAAGCAGAAAGGCCTAAAGGCCTAAGCTAGTTGTTCCCTTAGACCTTTTAAAAAACACTTATTCATCCATGAGGGTGGAGCTCTCAAGACTTAATCAGTTCCCAATAGGCCCCACCTCTTAATACCACCACAAGAGTTTCAACATGAATTTTGAAGGCTACACATTACCCCATAGCACCATCTAATTATCTCCTGAACAAGCCTTCTTTCCCCTACTGATTTGAACTGCCATTTTTCTTGAAATATATTCTTATAAAACTAAAGTCTATGCTTAGCTTAGCTTTTAGTTTCATTGTTCAGCATAGCTTCAGTATCATACTGTTTTCATTACTACTACTTTATAATACATTTTAACATTTGGTTTAGAAGTCCTGTATCACCCATGCTGTGTTTCAGAATTTACTAAATCAATTCATTCTTCCAAACCATCTTTTGAATCTTTTGTCAGGTTCCCTACCACCACCGCCACCACCACCACAAGAAAAACACATGTTGAAAGTATTAGCATTGCATTAAAAATATGAAATAAGGGACCAGCAGTTAGCGTAATGGCTATGTCGCTGGACTCTCATGTAGTTGACCGCGGTTCAAGTCCCGGACCTGGTGGCTTAAACTCATGCCGGGCATGTGTGCGTGCGTGCCCAAGATCCCGAGAGGAAAATGGAGGAGAAGGGATTGTGGCGTGGCCATCCCCCCTGGGGGGTGATTTCTCGCTTTCTGTCTCTGTCTCTCTCTTTCTGTCTGGCGAGCGCATGTGCCCTATAGCAAAAACCTCTAAAAAAATATATATATATATACACGAAATAAGTTGATAATTCATTTCTTTGAAACAGACAGTATTTATTTTTCTGAGCTAGGAATATAGACTGTCTCTACATGTATTCAGTTATTTTAAATGTTTCATTCATAGCAAGGTTTTTTACTTTCTTCATATAGACAAACCCTAGGTACTTTACACTTACATGTTTTTATTATTTCTTAAAATGAATCTTATTTTCCATTACATTTTCTAACTGGCAACTACTAGCATAGGAAATTCATTGATTATTATAAAATTATTTGGCCACCTTTGTGAATCATTCTACTAGTTCTAAGAAGTTTCATAGTTATTTCTCTTGGGTTTTCTAGATTGAAAAATATTTTCCAAAAATAATACTAATCTCGGGGCCAGCAGGTGTCATGGTGGTTGAGACATTGAACTCCCACGTGGTCGACCATAGTTTAAGTCCCAGACCTAGCAGCTTGCTTTCTTACTTTCCCTCTCTCTTGTTCTCTATTTCTCTTCAGTCAAATTGAAAAAAAAATTAAATATTTAAAAAATAATAATCTCTTATTTTCCAAGTGTTCAAGTTTTTGTTGCAATATAATGTATTATTGCTTTAGCTAGACTACCTCCCAGAACAATTTAAGTAATAGCAATAAGTCTTGTATTACCCCTGAATTTGATGAGAAAAGCTTCTTTATGTCTCTAGTAAGAATAGCGGTGGGTCAGCTGGTGGCGTGGTGGTGAAGGCAGCTGGATTGTACATGGTCAACTATGCAGTTAGAGTCGCAGGCCTGGCAGCTTGAAACACACCACGCACATGTGCGTGTATGCCCAAAATCCTGAAAGAAGGGCTGTAGTGTGGCCTTCCGCCATGAGGAGTGCTTCCTCATTTCCCTTCCCTCTCTCTCTCTTTCTCTGGCAAGCACACATGGTCTTTTTTTTTTTTTTTTTTTTTTTTTTTTTTTTTTTTTTTTTTTTTCCAGGGCGAACTGTTCTCCAAAAAAAAGA